TTTAGACGTTACTTGCTCTTTAATAACACATACAAACTAGTCATTATTATGCATTATTAATGAGTTTCTTCATTTCAACTTAATTCTATTCTATTTATTTTTTATAGTAATTTGAACTTACTATAAAAATAAAATGAATATGATAAAGTAAAAATATATTGTGCTTTTATTCATACTATACAGTAGTTACTGAACTTTTCTCAGTTGCCAGTGTCTAGGTATCTGTGAGTTGGGCGAAGACTTCGTCTCGCTCATCATCCGTCAAAAAAGGCAGGGCCTCAAAGCGTGGGTCCAGGGCAGATGCTAGGTAGAGTTGTTCCTTTAAGCCTGTGTACCTTAAAATAAATACAATTCATTTCTATTACAATAATTTAGAAGTTATCATTATGAAATTAGTATAATACAAAACCCTCTTAGAATAAAGTGTCATAAAGATAACACATAAATATCTTTTCTGGAGATCCTGATGCACAGCAGATTTCATCTCCTTCACCATCACAGGGTCTCTCGGGCCAGATGCATCTCTTCCAGAAGTCTTGCCTTCAGAGGGGCGATGACAGAGATTTGGGGTTTTGTTCATGAGGCATGACTAAGGTGGCTTTTTCAGTGGCTGCAGAGCCAGAGCAGCAGCCTCTGCTGCTGTTGTCTGCCTCTGTAAGGGAGCTCAGATTTTTCTCTTGTTTTCTTATTTCAGGTGCAAGTAGTGCAGCAGCGGTAGCAGCTTGCTGTTCTAAAAAATCTTTCCACCATGTCCAATACACTATTCCAGCGCATGCTGTGGGAGGTCCAGAAGTTTCTGCTTTTTTTAGTTTGTGGCTGGCTAAGGCACTTCAGGTGGAAAAATGCAGAGATCCGCCTCAGTCTGCCTAAAAGCCTCAACACTGCAGGCATCTTGAGAGCAGCATGTGATGCCAAGTTCAGGACATGTGCGAAACAGCCAATGTGCAATGTCTGTCAGTCCGACTGCTCATAGCATGTTAGCTGCGTTGTCCGTTACTATTGCTTTCACTTTCTCATTTATGCCCCATTCATTCATTGTCTCGGTGAGGAGTTTAGCAATATTGTTCCCTGTGTGGCTTTCATATAGCGCTCTGGTCTGCAGAATGTTTGACACAAGAACCCAATCAGTTGAAATGAAATGAGACGTGATAGTTACGTATGGGTCAGGTGCTCTGGAGGTCCAGCCATCGCAGGTTAGCCCCACTTTTCCCACCAACTTTAAGGACTCCGAAACCTCCGTCTTAACCTCTGTGTAAAGCTTTGGAATGTCTGTGATGTGTTTATGCATAGGTATGGCGTAGCGTGGCTCAAGTGTGTTGACCATGATTTGAAATCCCACATTTTCCACACACTATATGAGCATAAGTCTTTTCAGATGTAAATGGCCAGGGATGCTGTTATCTTCTGTGCGCAAACGGAGCCTGGAGCAATTTTGCTGTGAAAGGCTTTGTCGAGCAGCATCTGCGTAGAATCATCCGATTTAGCCACGCTGGATTGTTTTTGTTGCATTCGATCCGCATGGTGTCGAGCGAGGTGGTTGCGCGAGTTCGTTGTGTTGTCACAATATTTAAGAACGGTGTGGTAATGCTTACAGACAACTCGGTCTTGTCCATCTCTTCATTTGTTCCCAGCTTACAGTGGAATCCAAAATGAGCCCAAACATCAGCTTTAAACGATGGAGGTGGATGCTTGAACTTGTTGTTGCTGCTGTCTGCCATCTTGACGTTTTGGTAAGCGGTGTTGTACAACGCTGAACGGTCTCACTACAGTGTTGCCCACTGCACCTTTCTCTGACTGCTGGGCTGAATTGATTCATAGGGTTTGATGACTCAAAGTTGAATGGAGGAACAAATAATTGCAATGCATTGATGAATCAATATTTTTATCCAGCCCTAAAAAGTATGTATGATTTGTGCTGATAGCATATCGGATTGATATCGGTATTGGTCAATACTGAAGGCTGCTAAGTCGGTATCATATCAAAAGTGAATGAGTTGTATCAGGACATCCCTAGAAACTAGGTACTTTGGTTAATCCAGGGAAAAACACTTTATAATAATTTGACACAGAGACAAAAATATAGTTCATAAAAATCTATGACTGTATTAATGATGATGAAAGGCAAACGGTTCTAAACGGTGATTCACAGTGATATCAAATGAGACGATGAATGAACTCTGATGAAACATGACCTGGTGTGTTTAAGAGTTCTCTAAGTGACTCAGAAAGGTGTGATGTCTGGTTTATAAAATAAGTTTGGGTGTTTGTTGGATGGAATTTATCAAGTTATCAAATTTATATCAACCACTCTGACGCCATTGTTTAGTCTACGCACCCTGGATCATTGAGGCTCCCGGAGATCCGGTCTGCAGGCAAAGCCGTGCGAGTGAGTGGACTTCTGATGAATCTGAGGTTCATAGGCACCCTCAGCATACGTACGACTGGTCAAGCGTTATTTCCCAGGTGGCTTCTGGTGGATGGTTTCACGTCTGATGAGTGGGTGGGGGATTGAGCAAATAATAATAGTTGATTCGAAAGGATGGTTCATATGCCGCTAAAATTATTCCACTGAAAAATCAGCGTTGATTCCCCAGATGGTTATTTAGCATGAGCTGTGAGCTTTTTGCTGAGCTCTTGACTCTGGCAGAACTGACTAAAATAGGAAGTGATTTCACTTTTAATGAAATGGTTATTCATAAACTTTGACCAACCAGATCTGAGACATGTGTATAGACGTTTACCAAGACCCTCAGGCACTCCCCTTTCTGTGATGCTTATAAAGCTCATTTCACTTAATATGTGGAGTAGATCTGTTAAACATTCATTCGGATATTAATCTGTGAATGCAACTGATAATTAAATCATCATTAAATCACTTTAGATAGAACATTCATTGTAGGTAACACAGACAATGATTGTAAACCTGTAGAATGAAATAAATAATTTTATAAGGACTAAAAGTCTCGTCTTCTGCATGGACGTTGGTGTTGCAGCTCAGATAAGGGAGTCAGGAGGAGGAAATTATCATGGCTACCTTCTGGATAGTGCTGCTAGGGATGGAAATGTTTTGGTACAGGGAAGGGCACAACATTCCTAGCAGAGGAAGGCTGCTGGACACCTGACTGTCTATTCTACCTCTGACATTGCTGTGGACAAATACATGTGTTAGCCTTTCACAACATTACACCATTGAGCTTTGCCCCACTCAGGCTTTTATTTTACACAGCACACACCCTCCAACTACTAGTCACTCACATTATGTTACTGGAACCCAGTTTAAAGAGCAAGTAACACCTAATAAACCTTTCTTACCAGCCACCGTCTCATCTGCTGAAGTTGCCATATGTGCACACTTAGTAGTTTACAACCAGGGTTGGAAATGAAACTTTTTCTCTACCATCCACTGTGGCTGTCACTTTATGTGAAACATTTGCCTCGGTTACTGGCTTCTATCTGCTCTGAGGGAGTTTCTCTCAACTTCAGCTTTGTACTTCAGATACACTCTGGCTGCTTCCCATTCACATCAGTTTATTTCCTTTTTTTCATCTAATCCACAATGAAGGAGAAAAGGAACAGATTACATGAAGTCATCTGATTTTCACACAAACAGCTGTAGCGAAGCCTCGATGACGTTGACGGCTCGATTCTAAAAAATTCGTCAACGTCAGTTCCGGTAGTCGACGCACCACGCCCACTTTTTGCATCCCCAGGAGTTTGTAAATAGAGGAGGAATCTGCCTGTTTTTCCTCTAGTTCTCCGCCTTCACTAACATCTCCACCAAATACCGAAGACCCGGAACAACGTCCAGCTACTAGATTCCTTTCCTGTTTTGCCCGCCTTCATCTCCCGGCAACGGACAACAACTTCCGGGGTCAGATGCGCTGCTTCGTCTCTACCGCAGATGTAGAAAATCACCGGTAGAGTTTCTCCCTTCATAAAGGAGCTTCTTTCAGACATTAGGAGAGCTATTTTGGTGGTAGCAGTCTCTCCTCCATGCTGGTCTGTTTGCTGGGTATTTTGGTTTATTTAAACTTGGTAACTTGAACTTAACGTTGGTAAAGCTACTGTTAGCATTTTTGCTAACAGCTTCTTGCGTTTGGATAAGCTGTTACGTTTTGGTTTATAGTTAATCCTTTTTGTGGTGTAGATCTCCCTTTTATTATATTTAGAGTGTTGTGGGTTTTCGGTTTAGTTTAAAATATCACCTTGAGTTTGGTTTAACCACCCAGTTTAGAGTTTGGACCTTTGGAGATTCTTATTTTGGTCCAGAACCCTGTAATCTTTGCCCAGTGGGACATCCCTACTTATTTGTACTTTTGTTTTAATTCCCCACAGGCAGAATTAGTTTTATTATTCCCAACCTGTGGATGGAAAGATTTTTGTTTTTTTGTTGTTGTAAATAAACCTGATCATCATTTAAACTTTTAAATCCCACGTTATTGTTCCTTCATTTTTGCACACGAGCCAAACTCCCCAGGAAGGGTCGTAACACCACTCGCCTCATGCACGTAAGTGACCAAAACAAAGCAGCATGGAGACACTCCGTCTCCAACCACCTCTCAGGCAGCAGCCTGCTCTCCCAAGTTCTACATGTCACCGGAACATAACCAACCAACACAATAAAAGAAATGTTATACAAGATGGAAGGCCTGTAGTGTTTATTCTCTTACAGTAACAGTTTATCAAATTTTTTTTTTGAAAATGTCCTATTGGTTCTGCCATTGTTGTTCTGGCCCAGAACCAGAAGGCCCTTTGTTTGATTTAGATGACTTTCCTCCAGTCCTCAGTGTTCCAGTCTATATACCTTTAGCAGAACATCAATCTGTCCATGATGGGCTTCCCAAAGAAAAGGGCCTTCTTTGCTGTCCTTCTCAACATCGGACCATCATTACCATCATTTTAAAGTGTTCACTGTGCTGTAGATGGACTCTGGAGACTGCATCAGGCAACAGCAGTGATGTTGGTATGCTGAACCCTTCCCTCCATGTGTTTGTCTGCAGCTGGAGAGTCTGGGCCAAAATGAATTAGCTTCACGGCTAACGCTCAACTGTCAAAACTCCTATGTTGAACCACACAAGATTAAAGACGTCGCTGTGACCATCATAGATGTACGTGTTTCCACCAGCTAGATTCCATTGCTGCTCTCCACCTATGGTAATAACAATGATGCCTTCTGCTGTTGCATAGGTGTTTGACCAGAGCGCTCTGTCGCTGGAGGCCAAAGAAGAGATGTACAAACTCTATCCTAATGCCAGAAGGGCTCACCTGAAAACTGGAGGAAACTTCCCATACCTGTGCAGGAGTGCTGAGGTCAATCTTTACATACAGGTACACTCTGTTCCACTTCCTGTAGTGTGAGATGTTTTGTTGCTGTAGTGGACATGTGTAGGACTGGATGTGGCAGATTTTTAACTCATTCACTGCCATTGACGACTAAAGTCGCCATTTTAGATCCAACCGTTCACTGCCAATGACGACTAAAGTCGTCATTTGCATTTATTTTTTTTTTTACTGTGTGGGCGTCGGAACGAGCCCCGCGCTGAGAGAACAAACTTCTCAGCTCTAAAGCCGAACTTCATCCGCGTACGTCACACGTCACGTGATCAGGAAGCAGAACATCCATGCGTTAGGAGATCGTTTTGGGCCGCTGCTGTAAAAAAAAGTGAGGCGCAAACTGGAAAAGCTTCTGCCGATCACAATTCAACAACAGATTATGAAAGAACAGATGACGCTCGAAACACGCAGATTCTTCCTGATGTAAAAGTTTTTGGTTGTTTTGGTGTCGACATCATCCTAGCGCGCAACTTTCTGTGACTCTTAAAAAAACGGTAAAAACGTGAGAAACGCTGGCAGTGAATGAGTTAAATACAAGCAAAAGCACTATTGCCCACCAGTTGTTGGTGAATTAGGACATGAATCATGGCATTTATTTTATTATGAAGGTACAGTGAGAAGAGAGATTTAAATCAGAAAACTGACTTGAGCAGTTATCATGACCTCCCTTCTCCAGACAATGATGCAGGTCTGGTGTGATCAGTGTCTGGTTCCTTGTCTTTTTGGACAGATTCACCTGCGTCAGTTCCACGGGACCAGGTATTCTGCCATAGATCCTTCCATGGTGAGTGCTGAGGAGCTGGAGGTGCAGGGACTGAGCAGGAACCAGGACTCTGAGGACAGCCAGTGAGACGTGGACCTCCAGCCAGGCTCCTCCTAAGCAGCTTCAACACTCTGCCTCTCCTCCTGAACTCATAAAATGATTTATTCTTTTCTATGAAGCTCAGCCGTCAATCAGCAGGTCAACAGAGACTATTTTTATCTGTCAGATGGAGCAGTATTTTCCTAAAGACTTCGTGCTGATAGTCCATCACTGACACTTTGCTTTACAACAACTTTGCCTTAAGTTGAGTGGAGTGTTGCACTCATAAACTGCCTGAACTGTGTTCTTATCTGTGGAAAATCGTGGGTGAAATACCGAAACATGCTGTATATCCCAACGTTTGGTATTCACTGAGATAAAATTACCTTTTTCTGTTTTTGAAAGACGAAATATGATTTTTTTTAAATAAACTTCACATTTTGAAGTTCTGTGTTACTTCCTGTTAATTATTGGTTTTAGAAAATTAGTAAACCTTCTTTTGGCTGACTGAAGATCCTGAATTGTGGGGCCTCACGCAGTTCCAGCCCACTGGTGAAGTGAGCGGTGGTCAGCTACATTCATGGCCAAAAGTAAGTTGTCTGATTTTATGCATCAGAACGATTTGATATTTTAAAACAGCCCCCATTCCTGTTCCATAGAATTATCAGCTTCAGCCAGGTGGTGCTGATGGTTGATGACTCATCAGGAAGCATGAGCGCCTCGCATACAACCCAGAACATCTTGGTTCAGGTGTGGATCAGAGGTCATGGTTCCATGTCCAAAGCTTCTGCTGACCAAAAGACCTGTCTCACTTTTACTAAGTTTAGGTAGTGGGATGGTCTGAGGCTGCTCTGCTGTGTCAGGACCAGTAACTGTTGGAACCATGTAAGTGGTGTGTCCGAATCCTTGGGCAGGATGCTTGTAAGAGCGCATTTTGAGGTCGATGACGTCACAGCGCAGCAACGAGTACTGTCCGAATTCCAAGAATACTCATTCTCGCGTCCTCAAATGCGTCCTCGCTCCACCCACATTTCGAGGAAGGGTCTGTTGTATCCTCACAGAACAAGGCTATCCCAGCATGCTTTGCACGCCGGCTGTGGATTTTCAACAGGAAGAGAAAATGGGGAGTGCTACGAAGTTTTAAACGCAAGTTAAAAAGCTTAAAGCGGTTCAGTTTATAGACATTTTTCGTTTGTATATTTGTTTTTTCAATTACATTTTTGGCAGAAATAAGCCAGAACGAGATTGTATCGCGGGTCCCGTAGTTATTCCCGTTTGTGTGTGTGTGTGTGTGTGTGTGTGTGTGTGTGTGTGTGTGTGTGTGTTGCAAATTAAACTTGTCATTTGTTTTAAGGACAACAGAGCAAAGAAGCATTTTTATTGTAATGATTTGAATTGCATGTTATTTAATAAGACATAAGACGTAGGATTCCATAGGAAATATGAAATCAACCTACGGATCTGTGAGGTTATTTTAAACCAGAAGATTGGAACTTTTTAATGCAGGGATTAGGTAACAGCTTTGTATTCACTCAGAGACAACAGAAGAGAGAGAGTCGAGTTTAAAAGTTTAAAGATTTATTACTAAACAAATTACACTAACTTTAACACTAAATGTATGGTGTAACTAAGGTGGATGAGACGGAGAATGGTGTGATGTGGAATGTTGCTCAGAACCAGCAAATCCGAAGAAGCGATTAGTTCTGGTGGGAAGTGAAGGTGATGTCTTCGCGCTAAGCTTTGATTAGGAGATTCATAAACACATTAGACGCCATTTCGCCGGCCTACGTACCCTTAGCGGAAGTCCCCGTCAAATCAGGAATGTCGAGGTCCAGCTTGACCTCTGGAACCGAAGCTGGTAGGAAAAGCAGCGGTTGCCGACCTGACTAGTCTTTGAGATACTTCCGGGTCACGACGATTTTGTTGGCGTCTAGTGAGACCCAAACCTGGGTCATGATGGTTCAGCTTTTATTCTGAAGGGAACTGTTGCAGCAGGTGGAACAGCAACAGATTTTATCCAGCTTGTCGTTGGTACTTTTGGCTGAAGAGGACAGTTACGGATTGGCCACTCCGACAACTTCTCTAGAACGCTTTGAACTGGGTTAGAGATGACGTGGGCATAGTTTTATACTTCAGATGTTTTGGTTTATGGTCGAATGAAAAGATGACAGATTTACCAAACACCACCAAAACCACGCCTCCGTCAGATCTGGCAGATTCTGATTGGATCAGTGAAAGTAATGTGTCATGTCTTAACGCTTCGTGAGATCAGTCCTAGTGGAACATTTAAAGTCATATTACTCATCATATTCTATAGGATTATAATAAAATAATTTATATTTTGATTTCACAGATTGGTCACATCTTATTATTGACTTTGCTTGATTAGCTTTAACTCATTCACTGCCAGCTGTTTCCTGATCGCTAACGGCCTTCGCTGCCAGCGTTTCTCACCATTTTTACTGGTTTTTTTAAGAGTCGCAGAACGTTGCGCGTGTCTTCGTAACTGTATTTATCAAACTAGATTTCTTTCAGATAAACATCTTTCCTTAGCGTATTTTTACAGCATTCACTTTTCAGGAACTAAGCATGCATCAATTGACATTTTCTCTTATTGTGCAAAACATACCTCTTGTGGCTTTAACCCAAAAATACACCTGCCATGAACTCGCCAGTTTTCGGTACAGTCTAACACTTGAATCGGCACAGACTAACAACTGGACCAACTTGGAAATTAGCTCTTTAGCCTAACATTCACCACACACAAGACACTGTGGGTGTTGGACTACTGTTGGTCCTACCTCAGTAGTCCCTCCCCGTTTCCCGATGACAGTCTCTGTGCTCGGCATCCATGGGAGTAGTGGCCCTCTCGCCCACATTTGAAACAGTGCAGGCAATTCTCTACGTTACCTTCTTCTTTGCATTTTTACAGCCTTTTTCCCATTGCTTTGGTGCCATGGTGCATTGACTGGTTTCCATAGCAGCCATAAACATTTGTTTCATCTCTTTACGTAGTTCTTCTATAATCTGCTGCGTGTCTGACTTAATCTCTTTATTTTTCACTGTTGACATGGCCACTGTAGCGGGGGTTTGGAGGGGCTCTGAGCAGATGCCAGGGCTGTTTGGCATTCTGCTTGGAGCTCTTGGACCCTGGGAGTTCTGGCTGCAGCAGACCTTTTCCGTTTCTCAAATCTTTCAGTTTCTAGCTTTGAAGCTTCATTGACCTTTTCAATCAGTTCTTCATCTATTATGGTTATGTTGTTTGGACAGTAGCTGATACTTGATAGTCACTGAGAAACCCGGTTTCAATGGAGCGGAGGAATTTGCGCTGGATGGTGGCTGTGCTATACAGTTCATCCGTCTCCTCATTTGCCGCTTTCCATAACAACTTGTCTTTAAGTTCGATGGCGCAAAATACAAAGTTTAAGGCAGTTTCTTTGGGCTCTTGGGAGACATTGAGGAGCTGATGATAAAGCTCAGTGGGGCTGTCTACCCTATAGTGTCCCTTTAATATGGTGAGATGTTTGCTAAGTGTTAACCCACGTTTTATCTCCAACACGTCTCTTAGTTCCTGGACTAATGGCCCTAATTACTGCTTCCACTATTTCAGTCTCCGAGTGCCCCTTTTCACTCCCATTCTCGATCTGGTGAATCAGGCTGAGATAGGATAGCTTTTCCTTCTGCCCATTCTCTCCAATCTGCCCACAGATTTTAAACTCCCTCCTCAATGTCACCTCCTGCAGAGTTTGCGTTGCCTCTGATCGGGCTCTGGGTGGGAGATCTGCAATCTGTGTTGGAATAGTACCTGTGGTGTCCTCAAGACCTTTCTTTTGCCCAGACTCTGAATGACACTCTCCTTTGCTTAGTCCCTGGATGTACACAGCAATGTCCTTATACAACTGTTTCATTTGATCCTCCTCCTCACTTTTCTCCACATCATCAAACATGTCCTCTGCCAACCTGATGAGAGTCCTCTTGGTCTTACTGTGAGACTCTGCGCTGTCCAGGCCGGAACATTTCAGTCGCCTGCAGACGTCCACAAGTTGCTCTCTCTCCAACTGCCACAAGGCTGCACTCGCTTCATCACGCAGAGGTTGCAGAGATTCCATTTCTTTTGATTGAAGGTTTGTCTCTTGGGAAAGAAGGTGGTTGGTGATGGTGTTGACTCACTGGCGCCACCTCCTGGCTGGCTCACCAAAATATGTTACACTTCTGAAATGATGGGCCAACTGATCTCTCGTGCAACATATTTATTTTTACAGAAAAACTGTAAAGACAGAAAAATATCTGATTAATCAGTTCTTTCAGCACGCAGGCTGTACGCTGCCTCTCCACCACTGACACTACTTCTTCTCCTGTCGCTGACATTACCTTATACAAGTAACTTATACAGTTCTATATTCATATGCACCAATTTTAATAACTGGTTAAATCACCAAAATACATTTTACTACACCCAGTGAACTCTCATTAGGTTTATCTGGTTGTTTTTACTACTGTTTTAATCTATTTATGAACCTGTCTTCGTAACTGTATTTATCAAACTAGATTTCTTTCAGATAAATATCTTTCCTTAGCGTATTTTTACAGCATTCACTTTTCAGGAACTAAGCATGCATCAATTGACATTTTCTCTTATTGTGCAAAACATTCCTCTTGTGGCTTTAACCCAAAAATACACCTACCATGAACTCGCCAGTTTTCGGTACAGTCTAACACTTGAATCGGCACAGGCTAACAACTGGACCAATTTGGAAATTAGCTCTTTAGCCTAACATTCACCACACACAAGACACTCGTCATTAATTTCCACTGCTGTCTGTCACTATTATAACATCTGTTTATCTTAGCAACCCCCTGATTAATCAGTTCTTTCAGTACGCAGGCCGTACGCTGCCTCTCCACCACTGACACTACTTCTTCTAGTGTAGCGTCAGCTACCGATGTGTACAGGACTGACCGCCCTCTGCTGGCGGAATGTATATAACAATAGAACTGACATTGTAGTGGCCTTACTAAAAGAAAGTGTCTTTGAGCCTAAAATAAATGTGGGTGCTACTATTTTCATGTCTCTGTCTTTCACATAGTGCCACACGCGTTAGGATGATGTCGACGCCAAAACAAAGAGGAGACTCACCTCTTACATCAGGAAGAATCCGTGTGTTTTGAGCGTAATCCGTTCTTTCATAATCTGTTGTCGGATTGTGATCGGCAGACGCTTTTCCGGTTCGCGCCTTACTTTTTTTTTACAGGAACGGCCCAAAACGATCTCCTAACACATGGATGGTCTGCTTCCTGATCACGTGACATGTGAGGTATATGGATGAAGATCGGCTTCAGGGCTGAGATGTTTGTTCTCTCAGCGTGGGGGCTCGTTCTGATGCTCAAACAGTAAAAAAAATGCAAATGACGACTTTAGTCGTCTTTGGCAGTGAACGGTTGGAT